GATAACAGAGTCTAGGAAAGTATTCTAACCTGAAAAGGATGCAAGAGATATTGAGAACCAAGGACGTGGGGAGATTGTATTAGATTGGGCAACATGAATATAGCAAAGTGACATTGAGATTTATGTTATAAAGTAGCGCGGCAGGGTAAATTCTAACTAAAGGGGACACTATAGGCACCACAACAACTTTAGCTTAATGAAGCAGTTTTGGTGTATAGATCATGTCCCTGCAGTCTCACTACTCAATTCCCTGCCACTTAGGAGTTAGATCACTTTGTTTATGCACCTCCCTGTATGTGACTTGCACTGCCTTTCTATACAATTCTTGTAAAGAGAGATCTAAAAGGAAAAACTTCCTTTGTTGCCAATTTTGTTTAAATTACAAGTTACTATCATCTGCTCTTTTGATAGCCTGCTAGAACTTGCAGGATCCTCCTGTGCGTTATTAAAGTTCAATTTACAGAGAAGGCGATTACAACTGCTAAAGCAAGTTAAAATTTGGTTAAAAATTAAACTTCTTTTTCATGCAGGCTTTGTGAGTCTCAGCCAGGGGAGGTGTGGCTAGAGCTGCATAAACAGAAACAAAAGTAATTAAACTCCTAAATGGCAGTGCATGGAGCAGTGAGACTGCAGAGGGTTGATCTATACATCAAAACTGTTTCATTAAAGTAAGTTGTTTTGATGTCTATAGTATCCTTTTAACCTTTTCGCAGTCTTAACGTCATTGGAAATTCTGGTAAAAAGTAAAAAAAAGATCTGAAGTGTCAGCTTTAGTCACCACTGTTCTTCATTGTTAGTCACCTAAACTAAAATCTAGCTCTTCATGGAGCTCTCCCACCACACTTGTTGCATATGTATATATTTGTATTCATGTATTACCAATTAAGTTGCATTCTAGATAATAGATCGTAAGCTTGCAGGAAGAACTATTAAAACCCATTGTTTCCATTTGGTTGGTTTAGTATGTCACTAGGTTTTGCTGTAGCCTTTACAATGTGTATTCAGAGCTGCAGAATTTTGAAGTGCTGTTTAAATTAACAATGATAATAATAAAGCAATAACACTTAACTTACATGTAACCATTGCTCCCAAAAGACTTTTATCACAATTCTGTACTGGAGCATTTTATATCCTTTGTGTTAGCAGCATCATTATCAACTGTTCTCCAACGGTGTATTACTTGGATGAAGGCAATATAATGGAAATGCTGGCTTATTGTTTACTGAACAAAGGCCTCATAGTGCTGCCACCTGGTGGTTGATCTTCAGATAATTATTGGGTCTCGTTTTTTTTGGTATAACCGCAAACCTGTGCAAATGAAATATTTATTGGACAACTGGCTCAAACAGCTTTATTAATCAAAGAGAAATCCCCCCTCCCAATAAAATGACAGCTACTACTTTTGCAAAGGCAGCAGAATGCTTGCAAACAAACAATAAATTGCACCCACTGTCCCTTACAATTTGCTTTGCTCTGCACTATTGCAGTTCTGGGATTAATTAAATTCCACAAAAATAATTAAGACAGTCATAAGGCAGCTAATTTGCACATTGACTTTGCTTGCTCATAATCTTCTTCTTAGTATCATAATGTCTTAAAAAGCTGTGAACACTCTTAAAGGGAACAACGCAGTAATGTTTTAGTGGGACCGCAAGGCAATAAAAGCAGCTAATGTGTATTCATTTTAATGCCAACTAAAATCAAAACAACAGGAAATGGTACAATTGTATTTAAATAAATACTCCCTTTTTGTTTCTAATTAGTTTTTCCTGCAGCTCTTGCAATATTTGCCATCATTCTTAGATATTAATTTCAAGTGCTAGGTTTGTCATAATGTTCAAACGGCATTTGATTCATGTTATGTATAATAAATTAATACAATCATAGAAAATGCAAGGGTCATATACTAAGTTTTTACATATTCATTTTATTTATCGCAACTGAATTTTTACCTACTTGCCCTTTATGTGCAAACAATTGTTAAACACAATGGATAGCCAATTAATTAGCATATTGACATGATCTAAATGCTAATTAGACTTGTGCAGAAATGCATTTCAGGTGGTATGGATGAATCAAATTCTTTTTAATCTACTCCCAAATGAATTGATCCATCTGGGAATTACCTATGGAGTCAGATTCATTGAATTAAACACGATCATAGATCATAGATTAAAAGGAATTTGATTAGTTTGTACAACCTGTAACGCAATTGTGCACAAGTCTAATGCTAATTGTGTACTAATTGGATATTCTAAATACAGGGATATTTATTACTTCTGGTAAAAGCAAAGGTCCAGTGTATAGGGTGAGTCAACAATTAGGAAACACTCAAAATCCTTTAAGAAATGTAGTAATTAATTAATTACACTAATCATTAGTCTTGTGCCAATGGTTACCTATGTTGTAAGCAACTATCTTGAATGCATTAACATCAGGTATTTTTATGTTCATGATTTTGTTTTACCCTGTGCAAAGATCAAATACACAACATACCATAGTAATAAATGGAGTAGGAAACATATGTATCGACCCGCCTCTTTCTTTGCTGCTCCTTCCAAAAGACTGGTCAGAGTTTTTGCTTCTCTGTGCATTGTGTATATGGTAGCCTTTTATTTGGATTGTTTATTTGGATTGTTATTATGACATCCATTTTCTAACCTGTCCCTTCCAGGGACTCTGTGTTCCATGTGGCAGAAAGTATTGAAGGTTTGCTTGTACCCCAACTGGCTGACTATTAGGGCATCGTGGATGCCACGGGTCAGAAGATGTTTGATCCATGTAATATTCATCATCTCAGTTTGGGTGATTGGTCAAATGCATGCATATGAAGCTGATGGAGAGAGAGGTCCGCAACCATCTTCGTTCAGTATGTCCTCATCCATCTTTACCAGACAAAATCACACAACCATTGGAGTTCGATCACTTAGTGGCTGGGATCCAAGCAACGGCATTGAAAAGGGCTTCAAGAAAGCTTTGGATAAACTCCTGGACACCATCGGACCCATCTCCCGCATCATGTATCTGGCTGAATATGCCTTCTCCAGGACTGAGAAGTTTGACATGCACACAGTGCACAAATGGGCCCACAAGTTCAGGGAATGGACACACATGTGCTTTTGTTTCATGGGAAACACTAATGTTGCCCTATCTTCAGAGAAGCAGACAGCAGCATTCTTCTTAATAGATAGTAAGCTGGCAGATTTAAGTTCCAAGGAGCTGAGACCACAGGCACAAGGCAGGCTCTTTGAGGAGGCATTCATTAAGGATCTTCACATTCTCTTAACAAAGCTCAAATCTTGATTAAAAAGATTTTCAGAGGTACACCTACCAGAGGTGTTTTGGCAGGCAGGCTAGTAGTGTGGCCATGCTGCCAGTCATTTCTGGCTGTCAAGCCCTTGTGCAACTCAACCTCAACTGTTCTATCCAGAAATGGGTGGACTACAAGGGTTCCATTATGAAATAGGTGACAGAAGTAGTGAACCATGCAATCAAGCACGTGCAAGATTCTCCCCAGGTAAGAGTTCAGTTGGTTTCCTCTCGATTGTCACCAAACTGCAGGCTGTCTTTTAAATTTTTTCAAGAACTGAGCATATCTTTCATCAAACGCTTTGATCTTACAGACATACCAGCCCTCTCCAGGGGATTCCACCTTGCCCTATCTGGTTCTCAGCAAGCGACATATGCCTTATAGACATGGAGTTCAAGGGGTTGAGACTGAAAGGAGCCATTCAGTCCATCACAGATTGCAGAGGTTTCTTCAGCAATATTTTCTTAGTCAGGAAGAAATTCAGAGACTTTCATCCTGTGATTATTCTGAGGGATCTCAATGTTCTTGGTTTATCACCACTTTCAGATGGAGGATATACACCTCTTGCAGGACCCCCTTCAGGAGGACTACTGGTTTACACATCTTGAATTAAAAGACATGTATCTTACAGTTCCCATCTATCTGACCAGCCAATGTTATCTGCTGTTTCACTGGCACGGAGCCCCTTGGCAGTTCACTGACCTTTTGTATTTCATGGCATATAATGACTTGGTCCTCTAAAATTAAAGGGATACTGTAGGCACCCAGACAAATTCAGCTCATTGAAGTGGTCTGGGTGCTGTGTCCCTTTTGCACTTACATTGCAGCTCTAAGTCGGCCCTCAGTGACTGTCTTCCAGAAAGCCACTAGAGGGCTTCCGGAATCCAAATGGACCCTTAGTCTGTTATCTGATGCTGGACGTCCTCAAGCTCTACATGACGACCTCCAATGTCCAATTGTTCCCCATAGGAAGCATTGATTAATGCTTTCGTATGGGGAAATCTTAATGCGAGCGCGGCCATTGCTGCGCATGTGCATTAGGTCTCCCCCGCAGGATGACGTCAGCGGGGGAGGAGTGTGGGCAGAGCCTGACTCAGCACCGAGGGACATCAACACTGGATTCAGGTAAGTGACTAAAAGGCTGTCTTGAGAAAGCCCAACCTAACGGATGAAACGCATAGACTGAGCCTGGCAGCAGTTTTAATTTGAAAGCTTTTGGAAGCAGATCTAGTGGCACTCACGGTCAGCGTCCTTCCGGGTGATAGAGTTCTGCACTGGCTCAGGTGCACAGGATCAGTCTGCAGTATCTCAACAATGGAGTGGTAAACTACCTGGGACTTGTGCACTGTATTTGCACCAATGCTTTATTGTGGTTCTTAGTGAAAAGTTCCACCACCCAATCTTATAAGAGTTCCACAAAGGTTTTTTTTCCTGTGTTACACTATATTTGTGTTTTTTTAATATAAGGTGGATACATTGTCACACTGGGATTGGATTCATTTCAATTCAAAAAGTATACAGAACACTGTACAACTACAAGTATATTTCCCACTATCTGGAAATATCCTTTTTTTTTAATATCTGCTAAGTGCTGATGCAGTTTTGTGTTTTTGTATGTGACTAAAGGGGTTATAACCCCTTCAGCACCGAGGGAGGGAGAGTGCGAGCGAGAGGAGCACCTTAGAAATCTATAGTACCAGGAAAACAACTTTGTTTTCCTGGCACTATAGGATTCCTTTAAGACTTTAAAGGACCACTATAGTGCCAGGAAAACATACTCGTTTTCCTGCCACTATAGTGCCCTGAGGGTGCCCCCAACCTCAGGGACCCCCTCCCGCCCGGCTCTGGAAGGGGGAAAGGGGTAAAAACTTACCTTTTTCCAGCGCTGGGCAGAGAGCTCTCCTCCTCCTCTCCGCCTCCGTTACGCCCCGCCGGCTGAATGCACACGCGCGGCAAGAGCTGCGCGCGCATTCAGCCGGTCTCATAGGAAAGCATTTACAATGCTTTCCTATGGACGCTGGCGTGCTCTCACTGTGATTTTCACAGTGAGAAGCACGCAAGCGCCTCTAGTGGCTGTCAATGAGACAGCCACTAGAGGATTAGGGGAAAGGCTTAACCCATTCATAATTATAGCAGTTTCTCTGAAACTGCTATAATTATGAAAAAATGGGTTAACCCTAGAAGGACCTGGCACCCAGACCACTTCATTAAGCTGAAGTGGTCTGGGTGCCTAGAGTGGTCCTTTAAGTACACTAAAGCTAGCATACAATTACCTATCTCTGGTGGTAAGTTTGTTCATCTTGGACAGCAGCTGATTGTCTGAGAGTGTTGAGCTTTCAACAGTCAGTATAGATTACAACAGTCTTTATAAAATATAGTTTTTTTTTTATCCTGTTATATAGTAACTGTGCATCCTTTATTTCATATAAAAGTTATTTTAATAGTTTTAAACAAAATAACTTTGCATTAAAGTGGTTAATTCATGTAATAATAATGATGATAATAATAATAGTAATGCTGTCTGCCTGCAATTAATTATGTCAGGTTTTTATTTTTTTTAAAGGCTCTTTGCAGACAAAATAAGTATTAAACCTGCTTCAATATTGGGTTTACTTGTAGAGTAAAATCTAGATAATAAAATTTAATTATGTTTCTCATACACTTCATAAACTTTACTAATTCATTAGAATTTTTATGAACAGTGTTTTCAGCTCTACTGAAGTTTAGGGAAATGAAAAGTAAAACAGAGGATTAAAACTATACCATGTTCCCCTTCTTCTTTTTGTGGTTTGTATTAGGCAATCAAATAGCAGACATAATTTCAAGAACACTTTCCACACACAAACCTATTACTTTTATTTCAAAACGCAGTGTTCTGTATACTTGTAGGTTACTTAACAAAAAAGCATTTCATAATTTAAGACAATCATTAAACTATTATAGCTCAATTACAAAGATAAATTAAACTGATCTCAGCTCACCAACAACTGCAACTGCATGATGCATGTCCTATCTTTATGCAACATTCATATTCAAGCATTAGGTTCCACAAACTAGTTACCACCTAACTTAGCATCCTTGGCAAAAATAAAAGATCAACTTTTGTGATGCAGAAAGGTCAAAACAAAAAAAACATAAAAAATAAGAAACATGTAGGCAATCCTTGAGACAACAGAATATACAACAAAAGAAACAAGTTACCTTCTCATCCACATCCAGATAGGAGACACCAATATCAACCAGTGGGGCATTTGATGCTATTTCAGCCTCTATTTTCTCTTCCCTGTGTGCAGTGAAATGGAGGATAATTCAACCAGGTAAGAGACTAGAGAATGGACCCTACTCCTTCCTCTATCCCCAGGACTGTGTAGAATAACAAAAATAAATGGGCTAGTCGTGAAACCCAAATATCCTTAGGGCTATATGTGCTTAATTCTTCTTGCCCTATTTAAAAAATATATAATAATGCATATTTTGGCTATGGATAATTGTTACTTTGTTAAAAAAAGGTCAGAGGAACTAGGCATCCTCAGAATGAGTCTGTCCTCCCCAGTGAGTTGGAACCCAGGAGATAAGCTCACACCCTGCTTGGGTTGTTGTCCAAGAACACGTAGAGGCAGTTCACTCCCCCACCTCATATTAACTTCATTTCAAATCTCACAACACAGGATGAATAAAGAGTTTATGGATAAGGCAGGTACACACTGGTTAATCTTGAGGTACAGGAATCCCCACCATTTTTTTTTAATCTACCCAACTCTCTAGGATTAACTAACCTTTGTTTGTTTGTTTATTTCTAAGGGCTAGAAAACATCATGGCCAAAAACCTCAACACTGTTTTACAACTTGCTTCGGCAAGGTTTTATTTTTCCAAAGTCAAATTACTTTGACAATTACTCTAGAAAAAGGTATACTTTAGAAGTGATTAATTACACCTTAAAGTTTAACCCCAAATCATGTTGATAGCAATCACAGAATTGTCATTTTTGACTTGCAAGCATTACTCCCTT